CACACACACACACACACCAAGAGTCCAGGACGCCATACACAAGGAGTCACAGAGCCAGCACGCGCCTGGATCACATGCAGGCAATCAGCACTTGGCTGTTTCTGCTTAGGTAGTGGTGACAGTAGGGAGGTGGTTGTCACTCCGAACGTCAACAAACCACGAGCCGTAAAACATGGAGCCGCTGGAGGAATACCACTCTCCGTTTGACTTTGAACAAGGAGTCAACGCCAACTACCTCTACCTCTCCCCGGCCTACAGCGACACGCCGCCCAGCTCGCCAGCTGTCAAAACCAGAGGTAATCACAAGGAGGAAAGGGAGAGGCTGGGCGGAGGATGTGAGGAGTGTGTGTGTGTGTGTGTGTGTGTGCGTGTGTGTGCGTGCGTGCGTGTGCGCAGGACAGAAAGACAAAACATGGGTTTGGTTCAATGGACAGCAAGAATTTAGGGAAACTGGGAGCTGTGGGTGTGTGTGTGTGTGACAGCAGATTTGCAGTTTCATTTAGTTTTCAGGCTTCTAAACTGCTTTTTATTTTTACTTTTTTAGAAAATCATTACTTCTAAATGAGACCAAATCTTTTGGTCACACACACAGTAGGCTGGTGTTGTGTGCTCATAGATTTGCACTGAAGATTGCTTTGTTAAAGTTAGGAGTTATGATTATTTAATGCCAGGGAGGTGTTGGCATATCTTTTTTGGTTCCACATTTAGAAAATGGCCCATAATTGCTATTGTACCGTCTTTCGGTGTAGGAATTAGAGACCATATAATATCCCTGGTGTAATACTTTCCATCACATCAGTCAATCTGTTGAGTGAAGTTAAGATTAGGTTGTACAGTACGTCAGAGCCACATTTTGGTGGCAGCTGATGTGCTGTTTGTTCCATTGTCTCACAAACAAAATTTAATAATCTTGATCTTTCTGGAAACGTAGCCCAGCGAATCAGGGATAATTTAATATTGTCATAACAAATCTGGTGTGACTGCTTCTTTGCCACACTGCCACAGAAAAAGCTTTTATTGTTTTGTTGTGGTATATACAGGTATGGAGGATTGCATTTATAGTTTCGTACTTGTATTTTATATTTTGTTTGCTTGTGACTGTAAAAAAGAAGAGGTAATTATTTGTTAAATGCATGCTTCAGCTTTATAGTTTTACTTTTCTAATTAGTTGTTGTGGATGTGAACTACAGAGAGTTAGGTGGTCATGGGGCAGAATACGTTAGTCTTAAGAGGAAGTGAGCTACAGCAGAGGGGTATGGCAGTAATGTGGGCGGGTATGCAGTTTGGTGAAGCAAGCCAAACTTCTGCCTACACCCACGTACAAACTTTCTAGCTCTCTCTCTCCCTTTTGTGTCTGTTTTTTCTCTCTCGCTCTATGCACCTACTGATGGAAACGAATCATACAGTCGCTCCATAGCTACCTCCACACTCAGACATACAGATATAACATTTTGCAGCCTGCAGCCACGCGTTACAAAGTTTGACATAGCAGATAACTCAGGCGAGGTGTTGGCCTGCAGAGCCTGTTCTTCTCACCCCTCGCTGTGATCTTACAATACCTCTGGAGAGCAGATACATGTTCAGTTCTCGAGCAGCATAATGTGGTGAAATATAAAAGTACTGTTTGTCCTATTATACTGAAGCACAGCCGTTATAAGGGGAAGTGTCCATTACACAATTCTGTCACTGTAAGCAGGTGTGTATCTGTATATTCTGTGTGTGTGTGTGTGTGTGTTTGTGTTTGTGTGTCTCACTGCTGTATCACCAGTAATGGGAGGAGGGGGGCAACTGTAAGACCAGAGAAAGAGATATGAGGGGAAAAGACGTTGAGGGCAGATGAAGTGTAATGCTTCAGAGGAATCCTGGGGGGGGGTTCTTGCTGGCTGAAAAAGGAATTTCCACTGCATTTATTCTCACCTAATTACTGTAATGCCCCCTTCATTTCCTCTGGCGGATGATTTACTCACTTTAAATGTGACCTTATGCATGTTTTGACATGTAAATATTTTCACTTTTCATCCAATCATCTCCCCTTCCTCCCATGGTATTAATTTGTGTAAGAACGAGTAGTGGCACCACCCAGTCCTGAGTTTATGTTAACGCCGTGTGATTGGACGGCTTCGGGAGCAGCTCTCCAGACGGTTGTGAGGACATTCCACTGTCTCTGTCTTTGTGGGAGTATATATTGCGAGATTCTTGTTCTTTTTGTATCTCCGTCCTCGACGAACGTTCTGTCTGAGTTAAAATGTTTTATTGGGAGTATCGGGGTGTGACATGAAAGAGAGGAAGGCCGCCAAGTGTTTTGGAATGAGGTGGGAGGAGAGGATGTGGGGTTTGTTGAGTTAAAATGAAAAGATATGTAAGGGGTCAGGGATCATAGGATGGAAAGAGCACATTTCTGACCACTTCCATTAGTGATGGTGAGCATGGTCAGAGGTAAAAAAGACTTAAAACTTTCAACCAGCGTTAGTTACTGTTGTGCATCTTTATTCCAACGTTTGCAAATGCCTACTTCAGTTTCTTTGTGTGTTTGATCGGCAATCGGTTGCTGCCTGATCTAGCTTATATGATCAGAATATTTGATTTGGACCTTCAGTGCAGTTCAGAATGCTTTTTGACAGCTAATGTTAATGTTTTGCACCATGGTTCAGAAGTTACAAGGCCAGTATCTTCCAAAATCTTCCTTCAGGTCTGTTTGGGACTCTTCTCAGTTTATGCTATAGTCCCCCCACCCGCCCTGCTAAGGTACTGACATCATACCAGTATCCCTATTTCCTGTATCTCTAGAAAGTTATTTTTTTGTGCCTTGCCTGCCCACATCATTGTAATTCAATTGCGTCTTGGGGTGTTTCTTCTTTTCTGTTTTTAATACCTCACTATTTTTGTCTTTGTGATGCATAACAGTCTTTGTTTCACTGCGCTGAATCCCTGAATAAAATTCGTCTGAAGACCACGATAGGAAAAGAAGGAATAACCTCAGAGGACACATTTCTAATTTCGCTGATTCCAGCCGCGTCAGTGCCGGGGTCTAACAACATCCGTCAGCCGCGTGTCCTTGTTGACTGCACCGGTGGGCCGGACGAGCACGACCCTGGCGCTTGCTGCGGCTGGGCCTGTTCTCGCACGCGTCTGAGCCCCCAGGACCTGTAGCGCGGGAGTCTAGCAAAGGTGCCGGTGAGTACTAGGGGGTGCGACGCCGGTCGCCCCTACTGGGGCACCAGCTCCCTGTCAGATGCGTGGCTAAACATCATTATCAGAGAGCGGTATACACCTCGGGTGACACCTCTGTGTGATGGTAGAAATGCCCTGATACGTAGTAGAGAGAAACAACGAAGGGCCGGGACGTGAAGGAAGAGTGGTTTGTATTTTTTTTTTCTTTTGTAATTGTTTTTTCTTTTTTTAT